CAAGCACAAAAGGAAAAGAATGTTGTTTGGATGTGAGCAGCCGTTTCTTTGGGGGGAGCGTAGCGTGACACCCCAAAAACCGGCTGCGGAGGAGACTAACATTGAAATGGTTTCTTTTTATTTCGTACAAACAAAATTAATTGAATTGAAAGAAATAATTTCAAGGAACTAAACTTCCCGGGAAACATATACAAAATACTGGATTTCGTTCCAGAAATATTGTTCTCGTGCTCAATATCAGATCTGCTAAACATCGAGTTTCGAGTAGCCACTCTTTGAGCTCGTCACGCAATCTTCCTTCCCCACTGACATCGAGGAAATAAATAGTAGATAGCGAATAAGCTTTAGTAGTCTAGCAGTGTGGGATTGTGCGATTGAATCACAAATGTAGAAATCTAATTGTTACTGTAATAGTAAAGCTGGACAAAATTGTGAATTCTAAATGTCGAATCAATGGAGTGTAACAACGCATGAACAACCATTGTAATGTGATCCACATACAACGGCCTGCTCCGCAAGCAACTTTTGGCCAAAAACACGAACGTGAATTTGACCCCNACCCCACTGCCGCCGATTTGAAATAGATATTGACCTGTTGACTAACCTGCGAAGTCTACGAAGAGTTCAATAGCGAGCAATTTCGACAGGATGATTTTACGTCTCTGGCTACATGTTTCTCTGACCATGCTAACCGTGATTGTGTGGAAAACTGTAATGATTGTAAATATATGGCAGATTCTATGGCAAATCCATCGCATTTTAACATCTATTAGATGCTTTTGCCTCATCGTATAGAAATCAGCCTCTTAAAGATCTCGCATATGGTACATAAAAAATTGATAGATGGCTAATGGTTTGTATAAATTCTAAATTACCTTTGATTTGAGTTCAGCCGGCTTCCCAACACACAGATTGGAAGACCATTTCGCGTGTTGTTAATGGCGGCGGCCCGATGTAGAAAAGGAGCAAGTTGACGCCAGTTTTTTATCATCATTCAGACTTGGTAGTGTTATTTTTTGGAGCCCCTTTTCACCCTCGAAAAAGAAAGGTCTGCCCCTGAGGCGAACACCGAAAACCTAGAGAAATTAACACACGATATCAATAGCGCGTGACACGATCATAGGCGGATGTCACGTAGGCGGGGTGTCTTGTTTGACCAGTTTTGCGTGTTTATAACGCAAAAGAGGTTGACCCACACTTAGTTCTTGAGGTAAATCCGAGCTGTGTGCATGAAAACGGTCATCTGGTCGTGAGCCGTTTTCTTTTTTCTTTTCGAGTGGTTGTGCCATATAAATTTACTAGTAATCAGAAATTCTGAGCGTTCATTTCGACGCCTTCACTTCTTAATATACCTTGAATTATTTCATTAGCTGACTTCAAGCACCTGTCTATTGCTAAAATCAACATTATTATATCAGCGACCGAACTTTTAGACAGTTTTCTGGTCCCTTCTATAACCCACGATTTGATGATACGTTGTTTGACGGCGACAGTTTCTGTAAACAGGACTAAAATATTTACATTAACCTTCAAATTTCAAGCTAGCCTTTTCGCATCTACTGGTAATGATTAAACGCAAAAGCTAATTGCGGGCCCAAGAGAGGCCCGCAACCCTAATCTCGACAGTGACCAGCGGATTGCGTTTTACGCGTGCGCGCCACGTTAATAAAGAGCGAACAGAAAGCGGAAGTTGAAAATTATCTTCTTCCACTAAGAACGATCGAAATGCGAAAAATGTGTCAATCGCTACAGTTTGTCAATCACTAAAGTTTGTCACCTGAGATCGAGGTTTCTGTCACATGAAAAGGCTTTTCCGGTGTTGTTCATGCGTTGTCCGAAGTTGTTCTAGCCTGCAGTGCAGGCGTCTTATTGGGGCGAGTTAGCGTTACAACCTTGCGACCGCCTTTTTAGAC